TCACGGGATTAAGTCACTAACTCTTCATTTGTTTATTGGAGGTGGGAATTATTAGAGCGATCGAGTTGACTCAAGTCTAGTTCTCTACATCATTCATATAATCTTGACATATGATTGGTTTATTGTCGTGTGATTTTAAAGGGCATGCCCATAGGGCATGCCTCAACTCCCCTATGGGCATGCCCAAATTTTTAGCCATGCCCTAAACCCTAGTGACAGTAACCTTTTTACGGTGATGCTGGGTAGTTATTTTTTTTCGCCATGACTAGGGTACTAGGTTATTACAGTATTACGTAATTTCTTTTTAACAGGGCGATAGAATCAGACGGATAAATTGCTAACCCTGTTGGATGTTTATCACATTACCATATAGCCATCTTTTCCTTAAATGACTAACCATGAGAAGATATTACATAATTTTTAGTTTAAATCTGACGATTTCCAGTGCATTGAAGAATATTCTAGTAAAAGTAATTTTGGCTTATAAAAAACCAAATAATTAAGCTACAAAATAACGATACTTTTTACAAAAATTATTTTACGCAATTTACTAAAATTCAAAACCTCAAAAAAATTTATTTTTTTTTTTAAAAAAAAAACTATAATAATAATGGGGAAAGACTACTATAAAATTCTTGGTGTCGATAAAAATGCAGACGAAGAAGAACTTAAGAAAGCCTATAGGAAGTTAGGTATGTTCAAGCTTCTTTATAAAATTCCATTTCATTTTCCATTACTATGCACATACTTATTAAACCATCTGTTTTTTAAACAGCTTTAAAATGGCATCCTGATAGGCATCAAGGTAGTGCTGATAAAGAGGCCGCGGAGAAAAAGTTTAAAGAAATTAGTGAAGCATATGAAGTGCTTAGCGATAAAAATAAACGGCAAATTTATGACGCATATGGTGAAGAAGGTTTGAAAGGTGCACCTCCGCCTGATGCGGGTGGAGCATTTCCCGGCGGCTTCCAAGGTTTTCCCGGTGGTACCACCTTTACATTCAGAACAGGTATTAAGGAAATAAAAATAAAAAATATTTTTTTTTATCTGGCGAGAATTTGTTATTAAATACTATATTAATGAAAAAATCTTTACTATAAATCTTACTATATTAAAAAAGGTTATAAATCATATCAAATTTTATTATGATCAAATAACCTATAACAGGTCATAAAGTCATATAGGTTTTTAAGGTTATAGGTCAATATTGGTAGAAGTTTATATGCAAGTATAAATTTGGATTAAGAATTCCTAAAAGATTTAATTATAATGCATAAGCATTATATACAGTATAACAATAGTATTACAGAAGATTTAAGTTACTAAAGATTGCACAAGTAAGTTCTTGTAAATAGATAGCACCAATATCCTATATTTTCAGTTTAAGTAGCACTAACATTTCTATATCTAATTTATTTAGAACTTACTTGAGAAAGTAATTATTAGATTGCATATATAAGTTCTAAACTGATATTATAATACTGAATTTGATTAGAAGAATAATACAATAGTAATTAAAACTGAAGTAATAAGAAAAGTGATAAACATAAAAATGGTCTGTAACAATAAATTGGTTTTATTAAATTCAAAAGTATTTTTGATATCTATATAGAAGAATAAAATTAGAAAGTTCTAAATATAGAATTTTAATACTTATTTAGGAAACATATAAATATTTAAAATAATCAAAAGATACTGAGCTGTTAGTACTTATATATAAATAGATATAATAGCATTGTAAGGATACACTAATTTTAAAATACTAATCAAGTTAAAATATCTAAGTTAGAAGTAATCAAGTATTACAAAATTATATTAGAAATAATATTTAGAAAAGTATTATATAATATAGTTCATACCTTATCAATTTATAGAAGTTTTTGTTTGAAAATAAGTACATAGTATAAAGTACAAATAAATGATTATAAGAGCTATAAAGTCTAATACTTTAAAGAAAAAAAAGTTTAAAAGAAATGTTAGTAAATAAAAACAAAAGATAATATAAAAAATTAGTGAGTTTCAGTATCTGAAAGGAATGTTAACCAATAT